ATTCTTGTATGTTTGTTTCTTGGTGGTGGAGTCGTGAGAGGATATTGGTTGTCACACGTTGCTTAATATGAAGGGTCACGTATTAGGAAGTGGTGGTCTAAAGGAAGGCTCGTGATATTGTCTGTGCAGCCTGCTGATTTTTAAGAAATTGAAAGCTTCTGGAGTGAGTTCACTTGCTCAAACACTCTTGATATTTCTGTCAATGTCCTGAGAAATACAGCACAGAAAATCTATGTGCACCCACCATTTGTAATTTTGTAGTAGTAGTAGTAGTAGTAGTAGTAGTAGTAGTAGTAGTAGTTTACGACTGTGTCATGGGATTAAAGGCAGGTGCCATTTCCACCGTTGTCACATTTGTATTTCTGAATAACTAAGGAACTTTGAAGCAAACTCTTGGCGTTTTTCCATGGCTTACTTCAGGACGAGTTAACTACGCAGACTAGTGTTGTCAGAAGGTATAAACAACATTACACATGACTGTATTCAAATGAGTGGAAGAAGCTGGAAACAAAACAAGATATAGAAAAAATAAAATAAAGAAGAAACAAACAAACTTTGGCCAACCATGAGAGGAAAAATTTAGAGAACTCTACAGAAATAGTTTTTAATCAGGAAAGTTAAATGTTCACAATGTCAGAAAGGAAAATGTTTCCATCTCAAAGGATATGCAGGAACTTTTTTTTTTTTAAATTTATATAAAAGGCTTTAAGAAAGCATGACTATAGATGCTTAAATTTTTACTTTTTGTGTTTGTTCAGTAAGGACCTCTCATCTGTGACAGCTTTAAACTTTAAATTCAAAATTTCTTATGACCTTTGAAAAAATAGTTGACAAAACATTGTCAGCATAAGGTACATTTTAGTCAGTCTTCCTGAGCTTCCCATGATATCACACAATCTATCTATCAAATGTACAATCTTTAGTTTTGTTCTGCTGTCTCTCATATATGCTTGCAAGCTTTTTATCTTATTCAGATTCCTACCTCATTCACTCTCAATCATGTATCAGTTCTGTTATGTAAATCACGGTATATATTTGTTATTTTACAAGCATGTTCAGCACTGTTCCAGCTCATCCTGCAGGCTCCCCACTGTTTCAGCTTTAAGTTGCAAATTACATTTAGCAGATGGAGTAGAGGGAGTTTGGCCTGATTTAATGTTTCTAGTGTTTTGGCATGTTTGCATTTATGCTGTGTGAGCGTGACATGACAAGCACCTTCATCCAGGTCAAATTCCAACAGATGTCTCCGGCCTGTCAGGGTTAATTTTGGGAGCAGAGGTTGGAGAGCTTGATTTTAAAAACATCACTCAGGACTTCCTTCTTTATTTCTGTATCCCTCCCTCTCTACTGAGGCAAGGAAGAATGATTGATGAGATGGGTATTCAGCACATAGGGGCACCCAGGAGCGTCCAGTCCACCCGTCTCATACTAACACACACACATACTCACATTGATATGAGAGTAATTAACCTCAGACTGTGTTAACCCCAGCTGCCCATTAGAAGGACAACAGGATTGATGGGGCTCCCCCCAGTCCTTAACAATCTCTACAGTTTGTGCACGATTAGAGCACACTGGAAAGTGTTTCCATTTTCTTTTAAATATAAAACTGCTGTGGTGATTGAATGTCCGGTGGTCAGCAAAGACAGAACAGAACACCATCAGCAAACCAGATTCATTTCAGTACATTTTTGAATGCAGTCATGAGACTCCGATAAAACCTCACTGTGTTCATCCTTCATGTGATTTCATTTTTTATAAACACAATCTTCAGTTTTAACATATTTTCCTGTGTAACCACAAATAGATAAGATGGATCTCAGGAGGAAAAAAGTGGACCATCACTACCAGTCTGTCCTACTTTGTTGCTAATCTTACATTGTCTGCACCAGTTTGGGTGTTGCTGGGGGGTATTCAACGACCCCACAAGAAACAGCTGACAACAACACTAATCACCTTGGAGTCACTTTGTGCCTCAATTTTAAGTCAATCTACTAAAGTCATTGTTTCAGGGAGATCTGGTTCTTGTATTGACGAGATTTGCGGGTTTGTTTTTGACTTACGGCCCTGCAAAACACAGTAAAATACTTTAAAAAGTTGTGTATGAATGTGCAAGTTGTCTCAAAAGATTGTGTTTAATGAGAATATGTTGTTAAAATGGGATCATCTATTCGTGGTGTACTCACCTGGTTGCATAAACGTCTCTATTTGCCCCGATTGGGACAAAGCTGTGGTTATAAAACACGTATTTTAGTGGTGCAAAGCAGCAGTTTAGAATTGGCTGCTTGGTTAACATGTAGACATTATGGAATGCACTTCAGTCACTGTTTCATTCTTGTTTTGTCTGACAGCAGAAACAGAAAAATATGTACATGAAAACACCGTTTTACTGAAATACAGTATATATGAGCACAGTGAGCAGGAGAGAAGCAGACGGATTTAAACTCCAGCTTAGTTTAGGTTGCACTGAAGCACAAGCTGGGGGCATATGCTCAAAGCTCATGGTTATGCTAGCCACATTAGCTGCACAATGTGCTAACCCTAAAAAATTTAAATTGTTGTAGAGAAATTGCCATCTAAAGTGAAAGTAATCGACTGGGCCTTCAGTTTTTCAGATGCTTTGAGTGCATGAAGACTGTTGTGTTCAGTCTTGTAGCCAACAGAAGAGTATTTGGTGTGTTTTGTTCATGACTGAGATGTTTTAGAGTTAGCAGAAGCAGCTCTAGAAAATAAATGTACCTGGTGGACTTTGAGGCAGCTGCTGTTTCTGAATGACTCACCTGGAAGCAGTGAGGGGGCAGGATTATACAAAGTTTGAGCTGGATGACTGCTTGGTTCTTTGTCTAGTTTGTAGCAGTTCAGTAAAACTAACTGGTGAATCTGGGAGGTCATGTAGGAATTGCAGTAAACATCTTCATATCTTAACAGTTTTTGCTTTACACCATAACAACCAAAACATTGCGGCCTGAAGATGGCACTAAGTTGCTGTAGATTTTTTTTCAGTCCACCAGATAATCATATGGATATTTCTCTGAAAAACACAAATTTGAACCTTGCAGTCTCACTTAACAGAGCGGTCTCCTTGTACCTCATTATCACTGTACTGTAGAGGAAGAATTGTTTATAATGATTCTTTAAATCAATCAAAATCGTAGTGGGCGGAGCTAAGCGAAGGATGGAGATTCTGAGTTCACTCAAAATAGTAACAAGAGGAATTGTTTTGCACAAAGATTTGCACAAAAGAAGGTGAGAACTGTTTTAGAAATTGCTAATTCACAAGAAAAAAAATAGCAACAACTCTAGAAGAGATATTTTTGTGTGACTGGCCAACATGCTGCTAGCATTAATTAAATCTGTTCAGTCGTGGCAATGTTTCTAAATACCTCAAAACGTATGCTTGACACTTCTTCACAGTAATTTCTTGTTGTCAGCTGACATACATACATACATACATACATACATACATACATACATACATACATACATACATACATACATACATGTGTCAATCTATCTGCTTTAAGATTGTTGCCCAATATGTCAGATTGGACGATTCATTTGTCGAGCTCTAATTGTGACGAACTAGCCACGCAAAAGTGTTTGTCTTTTTTCTTCGACTGATCTTCTCACTCCTAAGTGAACTCCTGCTAACAGTGTACAACAGTGACAGCCTCTTGTTGTTAAGGACAGATATTGCTCGAATCAGTGTTGACAAGTTCATTTAAACCGGCCGGCCAGAGTGCCGTTTACCTAATTGGACATCGAGACACCTCAAATAAAATTCATGGTTAGCCCGAGTTGATTTGTCTCATTTACAACCTCCTCCCCTCTCACCTTTAACCCCCCCCGTGACCTCCGTGACCTCCGGCTCTGGTCCGGGCTGTCGGCCAGATGAGGCCGGCTACTGCTGTCAGTGAGATATCACATGTGACATCTCTGTTTCAGTCCTGCTGCAGTAACAAGTAAACGCTGTCAGCATTTAACAAACCTCAATGAGCCACCAATCACCAGACGGTTTGTGGGCTTTCAGGAGCTCAGTTGTTGGCTCCAGTGATGAGAAGCACTCAAGAGTATTGTGGAAAAGTGTAAAACATTTCACTTTAAAGGTGGTCTGTTTCTGCCACTGCTCTTTTTTTTATTTCAAAGCTCATTTCACAACCTGTTATGACTCATGCGGATCGTTAAAGTCCAAAGATATTTCTTTGAATTGCCCTGACGAGCCATTGCTTACACATTTTGTATTTAAAACCAAATCTGTTGGACATTAATATTTAAGAGGATTTAACGACGTTCCCGTTGAGTTTATTTGTATTTTATCATTATTTCGTGAATCATGATTTCGAATAATTATACAAATAGCGCTAAACCGTACACTTCACATAAAGATGTAATAATGTTTGTGGCTCCAATCTGTTTGATAATAAAATTAATATTGTAGAATGGGTATAAACATTTTTAATAGCAGTTATATTTTTTCAGCTTTTATGTGAAAGCTCATTACTTGTGTTTTAACAGCCACTTCAGTTCATTTTTACCAAATGACAGCTATTCTGAAGGTCATATATATGGAGCACGATGAGTGGCAGCAGAGCGAAAGATGAAATGTAATTTTCAAATAGAAAATGAAAAGTACAATTTGCGATTGACTCCAAAGGTTTTTTTTTTTGTTTTTTTTTAATGGAGGTGATAAAGGTTAAATTTTGTGTTTTACGTATGTTTTCTAATTTGATTTCTCAGTGCAGTTAAGGCTAAATTTAAAAAGGAACTTTCAGGAAAAAAAATTAATCAGAACTTATTAGTGAAACCTTAATTTAATAGACAGGCCCATTTCGTGCCATCAAGTTCAAAATGTGTCATAGCCTTCTTTATTTATCACATAACTACTTTTTTATTCAACTCACTTTTGTTGGAGTTGTACCGATTTTTCTTCTGAAAATGTGTGATTCTTACACTGTCAGTCGCTTTCAAACTAAAAATCATTTAACCTTTGTGTTTTTCAGGATCATTCCTTCATCATACAGTACAACGATGGAAATGCGGAGGTGGTGTCGATGTGGGTTTGTCGCTGTCTGGAGGAGAGACGAGCTCAGCAGGCTCAGGGACGCATGTGACGTCCCCCAGCCGTCCAACCGCCGTGGATCCGGACGTTTGATCCCAAACCTTGAGCGCTTATCAAAGGCTTCAGGGTCAAGTACGTCCATATGCACTGTAAAGGGGATTTAATGTACATGGACAAAGAAAAACAAATCACTCGATGTTACATACTTCATGTAAGTAATTCTTTATTTAACAGCACCGCGTCGCGACCGGGAGGAGGTTATATCCTTTGAACTGAATCTCTGCTCTGAGAGATCTGTGCTTTCTTTCTCGCTTCTTCAGTGAGCATCACAGTCTGATGGAGGTTGGAAAGTAGTCTGATGAACAGTCCCCATTCAAAGGATCAGAGACAATAAATCAAAGCACAAGTCTGCAATACGTCGGCAGAGTTGCGTTCTGCTTCTATGATGGTATCTCAAGTAACCGTCTTGTGCTTTACCGTTGACAGCCCTCTAGTGAATGTTAAGGTTTTTGCCTGTGAGTAACTGCCCATATGTGTGCCTGTTTATCCAGTGGTATAATTTATTACCTCAGCAAACTTCAGTTTTCACTGTAATAGCAAGATTTCTCCCAACATTTGACTTTCTTTTTCTCCTGAGCTACGACGTCTGTGTCCAGTTATTTCTAAACTGGTGATGGTGGGGATTAACTGCAGCACTGCAGTGTGACAGAGAGGAATGAAGTATTGACATCTTTTTTTTGGAGATTCTGAAACTCATCAGGAGGAACCAAGGTTCATTTCTGTTTAAGTTAGAGTATAATTCAGTTGCACATCTTTTATCATCCTTTGCACATACAGGCCTAAAAGCCACTGAATGAGATTGTCCTCAAGGTCCAGGTGTCCACTTCACTCAGCGGCTGTTTCAGAATAAGAGAAACAACGGACAGTTAAAAGCATTACAGCCCTCATAAACCAACACGTTTTACATTGTTAGTTATGGTTTTGTTCACATTGTGACCACTAAGTTCTTATTTTTAAACAACAAATACTGTGTACTTCACAGATTTAATGCATTTCATTGAATTGCCTATTGAGATCAGTAAAATATTAATGCAGTGCACCGAACACCAAAGACGAGCCAAATGGTGAATTCTGAGGCAAACGAAACGGGCTGAGCGACTCAAATAAATTCCTTTGACAAGGTCTTTATATGCAGCCAGTAAAAGGCGCAGTGCTTAAGTGCAATTAAATGCCATTACGTCCGCAAATTCACAGTAAACGCAGCCTGATGTGTACAGTCCCTGGAAACAGGTGTAAGATACATCAACAGAAACAGGCTGAGAGCTTTTGGTTTTATCCTCTGTGATGGTGAGGAAAGATTTGAATCATTGGCCATCAATCACGTATCATTGGTACAACAATCAAGAATTTGTTTCATCAGGTTGTTCATGATTTGGGATTCGCCCAAGACTGCAGTGCATCTTTTTTTTTTTTTTTAAGATTATTATTATTTTGCATCTATTTCCAGAATGGGCGATATATTCTGCAGTAGTTCTACCTAAAGTAACATTTACTCTTCTGTTAGAGCTAAAACGCCAATCAAACAAAAGATGGAAGAAATGCTGTGTGTCCATTATGCACACATAATAAAATATAGGATGCAAATAAGGCCAAATGATGTCGATTGACACTGTTGTCCCACATTGCAATGTATGAAAAAGTAAGTGAAGATAGTTTGGCAGAAGGTGTTGTAGCAACTTAAGGAAGGCATCAGGATGTGTTTGGAAGTTTTGGTGAAGGCCAGTGTGTGACTTTATCCTTTTACTCTTTGACCAAACATTTTGCTTTCTGTTGAGGTTTACCTTGACATTAGTGTTAAAAATCGCAATTTAATCAGCACCCATCCATGTTCGGTCTAGTTTCTTACAAGTACGGAGTGATGAAATATAAAAACGTTTTAAATGAATTTCTATACTTTCTATAGTATGTAGGGTTACATTTGGACACAGTGTCAGGTGGTAAACTCTATTAGCCAGATTCTCAGAGATACAATAAGTCCTGGACTTAAAGAAAAATTCAACAAGATCTCCACTAAAAAATGTTCCAGGACTAATCTTAATGCATTCCAAATCGCCTTCTTTGTAGCTTTACTTTCAAATGTTATACTGTTGCATGCAGTGTGCACACAGTCGGGACATGCTGCTTACAGGCACGAGACATGTGTGACGTGTCATTCAGAGAGGATTGTGGGTCGGGAATGTCAAGAGAAGCATGCTGGCTTGCATACTCTAAAACGCAGATGTCCCAGATGTAGTAGAACCTTTTTGTGCCATATTATACAGTATGGTATGATGGGGAATGGAACGCACCCCCTTTCTTGGAAACTGAGCCTATAAGTTTATCATTTGTGCTTCGAAGAAAAGGTTACTCAGTGAATTCTAAATGTGATCCCAGATTCATCCATCATGGGTTTGAGTTATAGCTATAATCATACACACTGCTAATTAAAGTTTTTTTCTGTGTTTACAGCAGGAAGGGGAAAATTCATTTCTGACTAATTTTCACTGCAGATTTTGTTAGTGCCACTGTTTGCCTGCTCATGAGGCCCAGCCGTTTACTTGTGTTTACATAAATGTACTTTTACCATGAGTTTGGACAACATGTCTGTGCAAGATGCCATTCATTATCATACACACATTAATATTACTCTGACACCTGCTGAAATACAGGTACATTTTTCAGCAGTTGCACAAAGAATCTAATTTCCTCTCTGCATTATCATGTCATGTGAGAAAAATCCAATTCTAAGTAAGACATCCACTTGCCATTAGGTTGGCCTTAAATGTAGTTCAAGGTTTAAATACTTTGCAGTCTGATAAAATTATTGAATCTGTGTGAAACAAGATGAGTGTTTTGTTACTCATGAACAAAAGGTTAATGCATTCTTGCAACTTAAATACTTCTAAAATAAAAACATTTCCTGTTTCGGAGCAGATGTATTCTCCAGTCTTAGACACTTGTGTGGATGTGTTCTCACTGCTTGTGTTTTTTTCAATAGAAATTTTCTGTAAACATGCAAATATTTATTATTTTTTTTACCTGTCAGCCTGCTCACATCAGAGACCAACTCTTGCCCTTTTATTTTTCCCGTTCTTGCCAAACCACGAACCATCAAGTCAGTGATGGGATTCAGCAGAAACAGTAGTGCTGTGATATTACTGGCTGACTATGGCCTTTTCTGTAATTATCTGTGTTGGCACATATTCCAACCATAATAAATAAAATGTATTTAAACATTATTATTTGCCTAAGTTTGATATTTTTGTTGTTCTCTCAGTGTTTGACCTTTAAAAACCATCTGTTCTCTCAGTCTAGACTTTATTTTTTTGTGGAAAATGAATGTTGCTGCTTTCATGGAGACACAACAGGGGAGCCGCATCAGTTTAAAGGTACAATCTCTGTTTTTTCCTTCACTCTGCATCACTTTTTGAGTTTTGAGGTGTATTTCTGTTCATGTGTTCACCTTTATACCCTTCAGGCTTCTCGTCACCACTCCACATGTTTCAAAAAGAGTCTTCTGGAGATTAGAGTTGTCTTTACATTGACTTATTCACACTTCTTGATAGCTAAATTGAAATATTGGACTTGTGACTACCTAATGTAATCTAGAGCAGGCAAAAACTTGGTGACTATGCAAGAAAGACATGAGTGAGGAAGGCCACCAAGACACCGATGACTCCTCTGAAGGAGTTAAAATCCAGTTTTCACCATGCTTCACGGTGGGGACGGTGTGTTTGTGATGATGTGCAATGTTTTATGTCCACCGAGCAAAGTATCTTGTCTGATGGCACAAAAAAAGAACTCCCTCAGTCTCATTAGATCAAAAACTTCTTCCAGTTACCTTCAGAGTCTCCCGCATGCTTCTGGCAAACACTATTAGAGATTTATTATGAGCTTTTTTCCAACAGTGACTTTCTCTTTGCCACTTTCCCGAGAATCTTTGACTTGTGAAGAACAGGCAGCAGTTGTTGTATGCACCGTCTCTCCCATCTCACCTGCTGACGCTCGTAACTCCTTCAGAAGGAGTCTTGGTGGCCTACCTCACTGGTCACTGTTTTTGAGGATTGCCTTCTGTAGACAGATGTATTCATGGGCCATATTCCTTCCATTTAACTGTACTCCAAAGGATATTCAGTGATTTGGACATTTTCTTGTATCCATCCCTTGAGTTGTACCTTTAACTACCCTTTATCACAAGTGTCTTAGAGTGTTCTTTTTTTTTTTCTTCATGGTGTGGTTACAACCAGGACTACTGATTCGTCAGTGACTGGACCTTCCAGATACATGTGTCTTTATCTACAATCACTTGAGACACATTTGCTGCCCTTGGCTGATCTCCATTTCACTGATTGTGTGGCTTCTAGCATGGGTTGGCTGCAAAGCAATGAAAGGGGTAAACTTCCAGGGGAGATAAAAGCTTTTACTCATCGCTGTATATGTGCTCAGTAAATATGAAAAGCATTTGAAAACGATCATCTCTGAATCTCATTAAAATGAATACACTTAAAGATGTAAGTAATACATAACAAACTTGTTTTCAAGAGCTTGAAAGAGGTAAAACAGCTCCAGAAGCATCAGTTGATATTAATGGGCTGGTCTCCAAACACCTGTCAGCACAATCCATCAGCACCACAAGCTGCAGCCTCCAAAATAACCATTCAGTTAAATCAAAGCAAACACTGGAACATCATAACCTTCATGAAGGACTGTTGTGTTGGACTGCATTAGTTTTATCCTGATATAACCTGATAAACTGGGTGCGAAGTTCATACTAGCAGCCTGATGGTGTTTTCATTACAATGATAACCTGGAAAGCCTTTAAGACACAGCTCCACCTCTTCACATGGCTTGAAGTGTAGAGAAAAATTCCATTTTCTTCATTAATACTTTGACATTTACACGTCTTGCCGTAGAATGACCCAAACCTGTAAGCACCTTGCTATCCAAAGTTCAATTAGAATTTGCATTTCATAATTAATCTTAGTCAGCCTTTAATTAACATCTGCTTTATTCTTGGTTATTAATTTGTGCTTTAACCGTGAAAAGCAGTTCAACTGTATTCTAGTAGAACGATTGTGTTTAGATGCTATTGTTTTTATCTCTTAAAGCATCAAGGACACTGCATTTTTATTATCGACACCTTAGAACACTTGAATACGAAAGATTTGTGGGAACATGACCGAAAAACAAAATCACTTTCAAACCTCCTCATATTGAACTTCAATACCTCCAGAACACAAAATGCATACATCTATCCACGAATTAGATGTTAGAAGCGACAGTAGAACACAGCCCTGCTGATGACAGTATTTTAGCCTCAAACCCATTAATTTGAAGTTGAAAGACTTCACAAACTAATCCTGGTGTTTTCCTGATGAGTCTCTGAATGTGATACAAAAATGCTGCACTGCTAAATTAATTATGTTTGTGGTTCAAAATGGAAAATATTTTCATAAATTCCACATTTACAAACGCAAGCCAGGAAATAATTAAATACAATACATACAAATACTTTCACTGAAGTCTTTTAATGTGAAGAATGCTGAGAAGTCAAGACTGATGAATGTGGCTGTTTGTAATTTGTCAGAAAATGTGCTTTGAAACAGAAGCAAAAACATAACTGCTCTAATGCAACCCAGAACTTACATAAATGTAATCTCTCTGTTGTGTATGTGTTTTAGTTCTGTGGTATTTTGTCTTAATGAGGAAAAATTGAAGTTTGATGTCACTCAGTGATGAGTATTTTTCTTTTATATAAAAATGTATAATTTTAAAAATTCTGACAATCCATGGATGGTTTATATTAATTGTAATATTTTTTACACACATTCATATTCTCCTTTGAATGAATTATCAACACTTTATACATTATTGACCTTCCATCTTGTGTCATCAGCAGTTAAGAAAGTTTATTTTTTTCATTTTGAGTTTCCCACTTTTTCTAGTCTAATGCTAAGCTAGGCTAAACCCTGTCACTAACTTCTAAACATGTGTAGGTTTTAGGAAGTCTGTTGGCAGGAATGGAAAACAATATACACAATTATTTTTTCATAAGTGTATAATTGCTAGAAAATTCTGAATTGTTGGATTTTTGTTACTGCAGAATAAGCACCTTGTATTTACAGAGGAATCAGGTGATGTTCCAGACTCCAACATGTTGCACATGGTGAGGAGTTTTCAGTTGGTTGCAGTCTACAACTTCACCACTAGATACCACAAAATTCTACAAACTAGACCTTTAATATTTATTCTCTTTTTATGAAAAATGACTTGGAGACCTTTTGTGTGTTTGACTCCTGAAGTTAAAGTCGGCTGCAGCACATTGACAAACGAAGGTAAGGACGTTCCAGCTGATTTATATACGAGCACAGAGCTTCGTGGAAATGAAATGTAAATGGAAAAATTCAACTCAGTTTTATCTAGTATTCCTTGAAAACAACTTAGTTCTCTAGATACTAGATGTCTCAAGAAAGGAGAGCTCTGTTTTTACGAATCAAATGAGATTTTCTTCTCTTTGCAGCAAATTTGGAGATCTACCTTCTATAAGAGGGTTCGATGAGCAGTTTACATGCTCAGGATTCATTTCTAGCATCCAGGCTTTGCAGCTTCACCAGCAAGCCTTTCAGTTCATCTCCTCAGAATGACGCAGAGCCAATGATTAATTCAAAGAGGGCCAGAGAGGACTTCAGTTTAATCCCTGCATGTTTATTTGCGAGTCATCTTAAACGTCTCTTTTGTCACAAACATCGAGTCGTGTTGATCTCAACGAAACGAGCTAAAGTCTAGATCACTAAATAGTTTTCTCACCGTCGCCGTAAACTTAAATATTTATCTATGTCCTTTCTGGGCTTCCATCCAAACTTATGGCCTTCACAGCTGTATTGTGTTACTGTAAGTCACACTTTGTTCTTCAGTCGGAGACCTTGTACGATGCTACTTATACAAGTTTCTGTCTGAATGCAGCTGCACATCTATTGACTGGCAGCCAAGTGTACTAATGATACAACGGTGTGCAGCACAGCAGAGCCATGGAGGCATTTCAGGGCCCTGACACATATCTAAGCAGCAACCGGTAAGTCAGTGCTGAGCCTTATTGTATGTATTATCAGGTTTTTGAAAGGAACCCTAGAAGGCAGTTGGATAGTTTGATGTCAAGGTCCATCTATACTTCGATATTATATGATTATACAGAAATTCTTTCCCCGCTTTATTTAATCATTAAATGAAATCAGTCTTTAGCAAAATGATCCTGTGATTGAGGTTACCCTGCCTGATCCTGAAAGTCTGCCTGCTACGTGACCCTTTTTTGCGCTGCAATGTAAGCATCAGTTATTGTTCAGAGTCACACCAAAGGCAGTGATACAACAAATACCAACCAGGAGCCAGAATGCTGCTTGTCCTTGTATTTTTTTTTTTTTCCTTCGCAGTCTCCAGTGGTAAAGAGAATTGCCTCTTTACTGTCTGAACCTCATGCTACCAATACACCACTGAAGTGCTTCATGTTTGAGAAAGTTCATTAGGGGATGATAAGAGCAGATACATCTCCATAGTGCACAATGCAACGTTTGTGGAAACCCTTCAGTGAAACTCCAGCCAGGCAGAAAATCATTTGCTTTTGTTGCATATACTGTAGTATCTTTAAAGAAAAAAAAAGAGTAGACCAACCTTGTACACCTGCTGCCGGATCAATAAGAGATGTCTAAAGTATCAGCTGCAGGATGAAATGCAACGCAAAGCTTCTTGTGATGGTCCATTCAAAAGGGAACTTCTCGGATGTCACCTAACAAGGGGCACGCGGTACAAAGAGGTACATCAACTCATTAGCAACAAAGACCTTTTAAATTACTTTCCCAGTCAAGAAATAATATTGATGCCATGGAGATGAGACACTTGTGTGAATCTAACAAAATGTCTTATCTGCATTATTATGTTATTAGCAAGTCTGCAATGTCTTAAACATGTTGGTTTTTCCCATGTTTACTGTTTAGTTTGAGGTTTTGAGAATCTCAGTCATGTCCCTGCTTTTTTTGCAGACGATGTGATTCTATTGGCTTGCATAAAGTAGACAAGGCCTTAATTTTATGCAAATGAGGTGAGGACAGTAAGCAGGCGACACAACACATCCAAAAGCAATATGGGGAGATTCATGTAGACAATGAATATAAAGCCTTTAAGTGACAGAACCTGTGGACACGTACCATCATAGTCAGCAACTCCAAGTCCGAAGCTATGGTCCTCT